ATGTCCAACGTGTACTGAGGGCGGGAACTACGAGCCTTGCTTTTATAACCGAAACCAGACCAACGAGATAACTGCCTTGCGTACTCTAAAATGACGGAAGAAATAAGTTTCAACAGGTCGAGTACGTCACCGGGGATGCAGGCGAGACGGTGCACACTGTTTAAACGCTTGCAGTATCCACGAGTGGTACCAGGAAAGCGACGTCAACAGAGAGGGAGCTCGCGATTCAGCATAATGCACTGCTACGGGCCCGTGTATCTTCAAAGTTCGGTGTGGTGGCAGTATAAAAAAAAGACGCATCAGCGCCCCACACCAGTGTTCACGAATAACACCGGTCACAAACTCTCAATCCCCACCGCTCTTCTCGACACCGACACGACATACGACAACAAACTGCATCAAAACGCCCCAAAAGTGAAGGCGTCTGCTCCCGTACTGCAACTGCTGCAACAAGCGGAAGTGAAGCGTTGGGCGGATGTCCGGATGTCCTTCACAAAAATATATAAAAAATGCTTTGCGCAAGGATCATTTTCATTTATTATTGTATACGTAATGACAAAATCCCAATAATTTGTTTTCCTATCTGATTCAAGCTAGTCGGACTGCTCATAACACTGGTCAAGCAAGAAAATAACAAAAATTTAAACTTTTTCATGACCGGTTTAAGAGTTTTTGTTAATATATCGTTATTTATTGCAACGGACTAACATTATAGATTTTGCCTCCATACTTTTTAAATGCAAACAGTTCTAACACACGGCTATCCATTGCGCCGTGTTTTGTGTATTCTTCTATAAATCTGTAATGGTCAGCGACCAAAGAGCTCACCCGTACATGTCAAGCTTATATGCGCCGCGGGGAGAAATGGATATCGAGTAGGAAGTGTCGGGCGTAGTGTCGGTTGTTGTGTTTTTGTACATGTCGGTGCTGTGTAGCTGTGTGCTGTGTTGCCTGCGTTGTATGGAGGGTTCCTGTGTAGTCGTGGTCGTTCGCAGTATTAACAGACTCGTCTTTTTTTTAAAAACAGGCTGCTAGAAATCTGGATAGGTGGCGCAAGTTACCGCCCGATTCTAAATAGTTTGTTCAAGTTATTTATCCATGTGAATTCGGCATTCGTTTTTTTTTTTTTTTTTTTTTTTTTGTCTAGCGGCTCGTTGAAGCCACCGACGCCGCCGACCGCCGACAACGCACGTACGTACCTTTGCAAGTAGCTACGTCCGCCGCTTGGAGACTTTACTGTGTATAAAAGACATCGAACGAGAACTAACGCGCCCTGTGTGCTTTCAATTCGGCTGAAAGGCGCGCGGCTCGCTGGGCTCGTCTCTCGCCTGTTCTCGGCCGCTGGCCGCCATGTTTCATAAGGAACACGCTCGAAACGGTTTTGCGGAAGGCAGACATGGTGTAGCGTGTTAAGTTTACACAGCACCTCATGTGTAGACGAAAAACACAGATGGCCTCGTGTAAAACGAACACGTTTCGACGTGTCCGCTATGGGACAACGGTTTACACGTCTGGGCGTGTTATTTTTGCTAACAGTGTATGGTTGTCTCATGAACTGTTCCACAATTGCTCGCTATTCTAGCGGACGGAAAGTTTGCTGCAGTGGACGCTCATCCGAAGTTGGTTGGTTTCGGAGCAGACGTCCGTTGCAACGGCTGCAACTCAAGAAGGTAGGGCGAGGGAAAGGCAGGCCAGGGAGGAAGAAGCAGGCTGAAAGTTGGAGAGAGGAGGAGGTTTCCCCCTCTCCTCTCCAGCGTTCCGTCTGCTTTATCCTCCCCGGCCTGCTTTTCCCTCGCCCTACTTTCTAGATTTGCAACGGACTATAGCAGACGACAGCCGATTCCTCCGGGCCTCGCGTCTCTCATTTGGCGGAATGACAAATGCTCCCCCGACGGCGGGTCACGTGCCCCGCTCCTACGCTCTTATTGGGTCGCAGGGCCCTAGCCTCCACAGTTCACCAAGTTCTCGTGAAACGGAGTACATATTCCGTCTCACTAAAACCGTGCAGTACAGTCAAAGCTACAAGGGAGAGGGTGTATCCCAACCTGTTCGAGAGGAGGGAAAGGTTCGGAATCCCAGCACCCTCTGCTGTTTTTCCGTTCCCTCCTCTTGACAAGGTTAGGACACGCTCTCTCCTCTGTGGCTTTGGCCGTACTGCGCGGCTGCAGTGAGACGGAGTATACACTCGGCTCTGAGCGCCCCATCTCCAAGGAGCCATTATGCGGCATCCGCGCGCACCGGGACCAAGCCTCGGCCTTCGCTTCGCACACAACCCCTTCTAGAACACCTTAGGGGTTCTTTCATTGTGCGTAACTTTTTCAGTCGGTGATTGAAAACGCACAAAGCCACGTGACGATGCACTCTTGGCGCTGGTCGATTACCTCATTCGAAACACAGGGTCGACTTCGGTGGAACTTACAATCGTCGCACAATGCACCGTGGTGCGAGCTGTCTTCGTGGTGTATGGTGGCTGTGCGTGTCGAGTTGGCTGTCGTATAGGTCGAGTTCTTCAGCCATGTCTCACATACTGCTACAACAGTAGCAGGCGTCGCGCACAGCCTGTGTGGGTGCTGATGCCCTTCGTTTCTTTTTTTTATTTATTTATTCTTTTTTTTTTTTTTTTTACGGAGGGAGGGAGCATTTAAGAAACATTTTGTGTTAGAGGGGCTGACGCGGCCGGCACCGAGCGTCTGGACGACGGAGCGCGCCCGGTGACCGGATCCCTATACGCATGAGAGGGTATCGATGCTGACTCGAACAGGCTGTCGTCAAGCGGTGGTAGCTGGTACGCGGATGCGCGAAATAGAGACGAGCGCCGATAATTAGGCAGCGGTGTTTTCCGCGCAGCCAGCTGTCGCATCTATCGCGTATCGAACGCTGCCGCATTGTCATACACAATATTGCAGCAGCGAGAACCGACAACGCGTGGCCTGGAGTTGGACAGAGGGGACGGGGCCCGAGATATGCGAGTATCGTCGGAAAAAAGCAGCAGCCAGGTGACGTACGGACGAGCAGAGGCGAAAGGCTGGCTTTTAGGTCTAATGGCGACTGGGGCGTGAACTGAGTTGGCCGCACTACGGATGTGACTGACGTTGAGGAGGGTGCTGGTAGTCCAGAGTACGACGGTGCCCGATGATTCAATGTGCGGAAACTCACCAAGGAACAGGGATTGCGGAGGTAACTACAGTAGATACCCGACAAGGAGAGGGAAGGGCCCGGCAGTTCCTGGGAAGTCCGTTCCATCCTGCTTGTCAGCTGCCAGTTTACACGCACTGGAGAGTGCTTTCTGATGCACATCTGTAAGCAATCTTAAAACTTTATTTTACGAGGCTGCATGCGCGAGTTTAAGAAGAATTTATGTTGCCTCTGTTTAAACAGACGTATCACTCACTCCATTCAAAGTCTAGTTGCGTCTGTTTCTTACATTGTGTAAGAGTCGAAGCTTTGATTGTAAGTTTGTGAATGGTGTTTATTCAGTTCTAAAACAATTAGTGCGTGGGAGATAGAAACTGGTATTATAAAACGGTATTCAAAATTATTAGTGCAGTGTTCTTGGCGTATTCTGGATATTTAAATTACATTTGTCTTTGAAAACATTCTCATTTTGCGTGTGCTACAATTCAAGGTGAATGTCGAATATCAGAGATTAAACATAAATCGGAGTGTGCGAAGGGCATGTCCAAATCGAGTAGCACTTCGTTTCATATATCCCTCACAGTAACGGAAAAGCCGACGGCAATCTTTTTTTTTTTTTTTTTTTTTTTTGCAGTGTTGAGGCTAAGAATAAAGCTGAGCTATTCGGTTCGAGTCATGTAACTCCCACTCCTAAATATAAATTAATAATTTAATTTTACTTATATAAAATAGAATAACTGAAAAACACTTCGGATTTGTTGAAGATCTGTCTAATATGCTTATATTTAAGAATAATATTTTTAGTTCGAGACACGCATTTCGGCAGTAAAATAAATCGAGAGCTAAATCAAACAGGATGTAGAATAGTTTTATTTCATTTTAGATTTTGATAAGATTTAGCCGTAATTTCCAACCGGGCTTTTAACTGGTCAGCTTCAATGTCACTGAATTCACTTCATTGTTTTTTATATTTCACGTGTACATTGTTTTTATGGAATATTTTTGTCTGCGCTATGGAATTGCGGTTACGAAGAAATATCTAAATACATTTTTGGTGCAGTAAAAAATATATATATATCAGAGGCTTCCCATAAAAGGTTTAACTTTTCGCGGAATATGTCCCTATGTAGTGTATTTTACCTGATAGACATCGAAAGACTAGCTCCGTTTTTGTAAAACATTACACCAACAAACTTGCAAAGGCCAACATCGACCGTGTTCGCATTTAGGGATGGTTGTTTTTTTGTGGAGCTATCTCTCAGTAGACTCCGCCAAGAGACAACGCATTGTTTTATTCGCTGTGCTGGTTCAGAAATTGCACCACAGGTTCAAACTCGGTTGACTGCGAAATCATTCGCCGTTGACCGTGGCAAATATATTAGTCTCATTGTAGACAGCCTATATTATATAACATTGTAGGCAGCCTATATTATATACCCTTGTAGACAGCTTCTATTATATACCATTGTTGACAGCCTAAATCATATAACCATTGTAGACAGCAGTCACGCATCCAGGGGGGGGGGGGGGGGGACGGCACGGAGCCTGGCCCTCCTCCCCCGAAATTTTCCATTTTGATAGGGCCCCCTCTCCCCCTCCGCCTCATAAAGCATTTTGTGATAAGCGCCCCCCTCCCCCTCCCCCTCCAAACAAAATCCTGGCGACGTGCCTGGTAGACAGCCTATAGTATGATATACAAAGGCCTGTAGGCGTTTAATTCAATGTTGAATAACGACAGTAGCAAAATGCCGCTGTAAACGTCGTCTGCTGTTACAGATAACGAAAACCTTGCGACAGGTTTCTGAAAGCGGCGTGTTGAAAACACATTACCTGAGCAGGCTGCAGTTCGAGAGAGTAAAGCGAAAATGGTGACAGCACGCATTGAGGACGGCATCGTCTATTCGCCGTTCCCCGAGCATCCTCCTGCTGAGATTTCCATGTTCGAAGCCGTACGCCGGTGCCTCATCAAACACGGAGACAAGACTGCGCTGGTGAGGTGATCCCTTCGGCACTCATTTGTTGCGCCTACACATAACGCAAAAGCAGGTACTACGTTGACGTCACTTGAGTATACGCGTAGCGGTTACCATTGCGTACACTGTAAAAAGAGGCTGTGTAAAGAAGAAGAAAAAAAAAGCTATGTTTTCTGTTTTTAATTTTTCTCTTATTTATCATACATTTCCGCTCCTCTCTAACTGAAGATTTATGTAAAATCGGAAGTTTTGTGAAAGCAGTTGCAGAAAAATCCCAGCACAGAAAACTTGCGTGAGATCACAAGTTCTGTTAAACCAATTGCAGAAAAATCCCAGCACAGATATTTTTTGCAATATTACAAGTTCCGTTAAATCAAGTGCAGAAAAATACAAGAAAAGACCATTTCCGCAAAATTACAAGTTTTGAGGAAGCAATTACTGTAAAAGCACCAAGGACAGACATTCTCTATTTTAAGTACGTAATTTTACATTTTCTCTCGTTTCTCTCTTTTAAAATTATTACATGCAATGTTCTACGATGAAGCAGTGAAGCAGGGCATAGGCACAATATGATCTCACTGCTGATATATTGCCACGCGGCATCTGTGCCACTAGACATCAGAGCTAGTGAAGCATGTATAGTATCAAAGGTAATAAGGTCTATGTTAATACATGTGCCACTATGTACGCTTGACTATGTAGATCCCTATGCACACAAATGTCGCGTAGAAATATATAAGCTGAAAGGCCGTCGTTTTCCGACACCTTGTTCCACCATCAAATATCGAATCTGCCAATGTGTATTTTATTGAGAAGTCGGGGGCGGGACTCCATTCGTTAAAACGTCGTTCAACCAACTGAGTGCCATCAGCCGCTTGGAGGGCGCGCTCGATGTTGGTTGCCTCCGTGACGAAGGCTTCGACGGTGGTCGGCGAGTTGCAGACGAGGCCTCCAAGATGTCATCCCTTACACCTCGCATCAGGATCCGCAGCTTCTTTTCGGCGGTGGCTTAAGGGTCGGTGCGAGCAACCAAGTGCAGAGCATCCTCGACAAAGCCAGTGATGATCTCTTTGGGGCTTTGGGTTATAGATCGAAGTAGGTCTTCGGCTCTCCCTCGATCGGCGGTGTTGGTTAACAAATGTGGCCTTCAGCTGGCTTTTGAAAACATCCCACGTTGTCAAAAAAGACTCGTGGTTTTTGTACCAGTAACTGGAAGTCCCCTCGAGCGATAAATACACGTTTTGCAGAAGCTGCTCGTCGGTCTATCCATTGTGGCAAGCGATGCGTTCGTACTGGTCGACCCAGTCTTCGACGTCTTCGTGAAGTTCACCGTGGAACGGAGCAGACCTCCGTAATGCGACGGGCAGGTAGATAGCGGCTAAAGCGTCCGGGGTCTTCGACTGGTTGACCATCGTCGTCTTTTTGGGCTTGGGCTTGTCCGGCGGCAAACCCAATTCAGGAGCCTCTCCCTGGATGCGGCGGCTGGCCCGAGATTCACGTTCCTCGTAGAGCGGTCTTCTCGTCGGGCTTGGAGTCGGACTTGCACTGCGGGAACTCGTAGGGGTAGGCTGCACGGACACAAATTACCCCGCACCTCCACCAAAAATGTCACGAGTGACAAGGTGACGAAGCGAAGAATAATTGAGAAAACTGAAATGTTTAATGGGGCAAACTTGTGCCCAAAACGAAATGGAAACAGAGAATAACAATAGAACATCGCGGGCGTCGATAGTGGCGTAACAGCAGGTTCGAACGCTGGGGCGAGATTGACTCCGCTCTCCATGCGGAGTGCCTTATGTACCCTCGTGGGTTCCTGGAACATTCGGCGTAAAACCTTCGGTGCGTAGAACATTCGAAACTCGATCAGATGAGAATGTTCTCGAACTGACGAGAACGCCAAGTTGAAAGAATGATTAAAATGACAGTCCGCTGACTGGAATCGAACCTACAACTTACGCGCGACAGTCGAGCGCGGTAACCACTCAGTCATGCACGCGCTCGCTCGCCGACGCGCGTGGCAATATTCGCACAGCTACGTTCGCACACGTGTGCTCTTGGTGGCAAGCTTGAGGAAGAAAACGAGAAAGGACGGACAAACACAAACTTCCAACTGGCAACAACATTTAATAACACCAAGAGTTTGCTTATATACAGGAAAAAAGGGGGGGGGTGAAAAGGGGGGTGGAAAGGAGGAGCACTATGCCGTCAAGGGTGCGTCGTCGCTGTCGGGAACGTCGGGGGAGATAGCTCCGAACTAAGAAATGTTATCTCTTTCCCCGAAAGGGCAATGGAAGGGGAGCTGATGTTGTCCTTGGATCGACACATGGCGAAGGCTTCCAGAATCTCCCGACCATACCTTGAGGGGTGACCCCCGATTCTTGTAGTAGAGGGAAGGATCGGGGGTCTCCCCTCGAGGTATGGTCGGGAGATTCTGGAAGCCTTCGCCATGTGTCGATCCAAGGACAACATCAGCTCCCCTTCCATTGCCCTTTCGGGGAAAGAGATAAGATTTCTTAGTTCGGAGCTATCTCCCCCGACGTTTCCGACAGCGACGACGCACCCTTGACGGCATAGTGCTCCTCCTTTCCACCCCCTTTTCACCCCCCCCCCCCTTTTTTTCCTATATATAAGCAAACTCTTGGTGTTATTAAATGTTGTTGCCAGTTGGAAGTTTGTGTTTGTCCGTCCTTTCTCGTTTTCTTTCTCAAGTTTGCTATCCATACCAACCCGCTCGTTCTGTCCCTACATCGTCAACGTGAGCCCTGTTTGTTCTTGTCCTATGTCACCAACCCCAGAGTTTGCCCCTGTTGAATTCCTTCAAGCTGCAATTTTCCTTTCCAAGATGTCTATTCTGCGCTTACGTCTACGGGTTCTCGGATACTTCGTCCGCAAGAAAGTTCCACACGGAGCCATCGAGCAAGTCACGGGGTTCCAGTCTAGCAACTGGCAAGCCAATCACAGAATCATGCAGATCGCCAGGGATGAAATCTCCAGCGAGATCCGCGTTATGCAAGAGCTCCTGCCCGCCGTGATGTCCAAACATCTGGGACTAAACTATAATCGTCAGCCGTCCTTCAAGTTTCTACAAGAGTCAGCCTGCACCCTACTGTCAAACTCATAAAATCATTTTCTTCGTCATCAAAAAAAAAAAAAAAAATCCACCGAGGTGACACCCAGAGTCAAACCAGAACCCCCCGTCAACTTGTCCGGAGTGCAGTTATCCCCGTCTACAGAAAGCCTTCTGGCCCACGGGCCGAAGTATGCTCCTGCGGTCGCCAACACCAGAGTCGACCAGCTGGCCGCGGTGTACAAAATCGCCGCCAAAATACCGGAGGACAGCCGTCAGGACTTCGTAGCGGCAGGGTCAAGAGCTGTGTGCTTCCATGGTGAGACAAGGAAAACCAAGAATGCTGCCACCCCAGCTATCAAGGAACTTCAGTCCGCTGAGCTGAGAGTTCTCCAAGCGGACAAGACGGGCGGTTTCGTCATCCTCAACAAAGAACAAATGCAGGAGAAGACCGACGAAGCGCTGAAAAAGAACTTTCTTCCTCTCAAGTCGAGGCCATCCGGTTCCCTCAGGTCTCAGGTGAAGGCGCTCTGCGACTCCTCCAACCTCCCTTCTCAAAAAAGTGCCATTCTTGCTCCCGCTAAGCAGTACCTATCCATTTTCTTTTCTGCCAAGACACATAAGCCTGGAGTGCCGTTCCGTAGCATTATTTCAGAAACAGGGTGCTGGCAGAAGCCCTTGGCGATGTTTTTACAAAAAAATCTCGAAACCTTGGACCTTCCTCAACCTTTCCGACTAAAGAATTCCGAGGACCTTATCCCAACGTTAGATAACTTGCATATCGGTACGGAAACTGTTGGAGTGTTCTCTCTTGATGTAGTAGATTTGTATTATAGTCTCAATGTGAAAACCCTTCTGGGGTTCGTATCCGAAGCTGTGCACTTAAGAGGCGTTATAGATTTTCAAAATTCCTATGGCATCTCACTCTCAGCATTTCTAGAGTTGATTCGCCTGTATCTTCAGTCCACCCTAGTCGAACACGAGGGCAAAGTATTCCTTCAAAAATCCGGTGTGTGCATAGGGTCGTGCCTAGCGCCCATCCTAAGCGAAATCCTTATGTTTCACGTTGACACAAAGGTTCAATCAATCCTTGAGCAGGAATTTCCCGAAGCCTTGGTTTATCGCTACGTAGATGATTATCTTATCATTCATTCCACTAATTCAGATACCGCAGCGATTGAAAGCGTTTTCCAGAAGAACTCCTTCGGGCTCACGTTCACAAAAGAGACCCCTTCATCTGAGGGATTACAGTTCCTTGATCTGAGATTGGTCCCCACCAGTGTCGGGATCTGCTGGTCCAATCAGCAGAGGTCTGCGAAGCCTGTCCTGCCGTTCAGCAGCTCGCACTCAAAAAACGTAAAAACTGGTATTGTCCGAAACCTTATTGCTGCTGCCAAATCCAAGTCGTGTCACCACCTTTCCGCAACTAGTCTGTCCAATCAGATAGGCCGCCTTCTCAAGGCAGGTTACCCAAACGACTTGATCGAGCTTACCTTCAAAAGACTTGTCACAGGGCCTCAATCCAAAAAGCCGCCTCCAAGGTCCCGCTTCGCGTGCATCCCCTACATTCATAACATTTCGCATCGACTGAAATCAATAGCTCAGGGCTTCAACATCAACGTGGTTTTCTCGTGTAAGTTTAAATTGGCATCTATTTGCAAAAAAGTCAACAGCCCCGGACCGACGCCCCCTTGCCAAAAGAACCACAAAACCTGTTACGTTCCTTGCCGCAAAGAGTGTGTTTACTCAATACCTATGTCCTGTGGTGCCCGATACATCGGCCAAACGGGGCGCTGCTTAAACGACCGCCTGAGAGAGCACGCGAACGAGGTTTAAAAAGCGGTCTCCGACGGTTCAGAGGTCATTCACCACCCGATCGCCAAACACGCATCGGAATGTACTTCCTGCTCGGCCGTCCTTCCCTCTACTACAAGAATCGGGGGTCACCCCTCGAGGTTTGGTCGGGAGATTCTGGAAGCCTTCGCCATGTGTCGATCCAAGGACAACATCAGCTCCCCTTCCATTGCCCTTTCGGGGAAAGAGATAAGATTTCTTAGTTCGGAGCTATCTCCCCCGACGTTCCCGACAGCGACGACGCACCCTTGACGGCATAGTGCTCCTCCTTTCCACCCCCCTTTTCACCCCCTCCCTTTTTTCCTGTATATAAGCAAACTCTTGGTGTTATTAAATGTTGTTGCCAGTTGGAAGTTTGTGTTTGTCCGTCCTTTCTCGTTTTCTTCCTCAAGTTTACTATCCATACCAACCCGCTCGTTCTGTCTCTCTTGGTGGCACTTGAACGAAACTTCTGGGGAGGCTTGCTAGGACAGTGTCTTAGCCACTAATCTCTATGACGCCATGCTAGATCACTGATCTCCGCTTCCAGTCTATTGCGCGATTGTGGCCACCGGTTGGCTGACTTACGTCACCCGCTGAAGCGTTGTCAAGGCTGTGGTCACTTGACCTTTGCGTCTGTTTTCACGGGACTTACAGAGGCTTACGTCATCCGCTGAGGCGCTGTGAAGGCTGTAATGCATGACCTTCGCGTCTGTTGTCAGGTGACGCATTGATGGTAACCATGGTAAATGTCTAAGCTTGACAGCCCAAGAAAGGGTGACGTAAGATGTCGGACCGGAGGCCGCGTTCGCGGAGGGGGCATCAGAGAACCGGCAAATCGGCATAGAGATCAGTCAGTGGTCTTAGCTGAGACTGGGATGGGGTGTACTGGAACTGAGTTGTGTGCCGACCGCGTCAGCCTCTCCATTGAAGTAGGGTGTCGCGTGGCCCAATTCTGCCGCAGGAGTATGGGGTGGTGCTGCCACTCACAGCTGGGCAAAGAGGCTGGTCAGACAGTGTTTAGCGAGGCTGGCTAGGCGTGTTTATGTGAATATGCCTTCTTGTTATGTAAGTAGACTAGTAAGTAACTAACCATTCGCACACGGTGTCTGCGATTTGAATATAAGCTTCCGCCACTCGCGCAAGTCACGCTTTTTCACAAACGTGTGAGATAGGATGGAACTTATTCTCGGTCAAAACCGAGCAGACTAAAAGAAACTATGAATTCGACCACCTTCACAACGAATAAAGCATCTCTCTTGCGACCGCAGGCCTGTCAGCCGTCGGATGGCCGTGCTCTGACCCACAGCACCCTCATAGGCGTGCTTAAACATCGCGACACTCACGGCCACCACCGGACGGCACACCCTCCCGTTCTAGTGATTTTTAACTGGGTGCACTGCGAAGGCTGGGGCGCGCGAGCTTCTTAAGGCTCAGTTTGAGTCGCGCTCACCTGGTGCGCTAATTTTGGCAGTGCTCTTTTTCACCCAGTCTCAGCTGAGACACAGTTTCTGGCAAGCTCGTCCTGTAAGTTCTGGAAGGAAAAGTTTGTGTGGAGTGATTTGCGTACAGCGTAACACAAGACACTTATGGACTAGTCCAATCATCGCATCCTGACGCTGTTATATTGTAGTTTGTAGGCTGTGAAACATGTCTCCAGCACGTTGAGTAGCTCTCTTCAAGATATGAATATCAGTCGGCGCGTCCACAGCCCCGTAACTAGGCATTCTTCGCTTCAGTGATAAGCGTCTGAAAGGTATACGCTGCAGTGTTGATTTCTCGTGCACTGTTTACTTCCACACCTGTGCGAAGCTATTAACATAATTGGCACACAGGGTACACCAGTAATTAGTCGTTTTTTTGTCTCTTGTCTAGATTATTGACGATGAGAAGATCACGCACTCGGAGATGCTCAGTATGTTTCGAAGGTTCGCTGTCGGCTTCCAAATGCAAGGCGTACGCCCAGCCGACCGAGTCTTCGTTCACCTTGAAAACTCCGTGGAGAGCTTTGTCGCTTTGTACAGCGTTATATTTGCTGGAGGTGTTGTCATCCTCTCTGATCCACAATTGACAATGGGTGAGAAATTCGTAAATCTTTTTGGCCCCATTATCCCACGCTTTTTATTGTTTTTTTTTTGTTTTTTTTTAGGGGGGGGGGGATGCAGATATGAACGGTGTGATAACAGGTTAGTTGGAAGATAGCACACCGGTTTCATGCTTTTTCTTATCTTTTATTAAAGATCGTTTACATTTCATATCGGTTAGAGTCTTCGTAACCTCATCGCGAACGGCAGGCGAGACTAAAAATATTTTGAAGTCTAGCTGTCTTTCATGTGTCGTATGATTGAGTTTGTTAACATTTGTCAACATATTTGTCAACGATTATTTTAGTTTTACTTTCCTCCATCGGACCGCAGTCTGCCGCAAGCGGACACCGCAGACTTGCACCACATCCCTCAATGCAGCTTAGCTCGCCAAGTCTTCACAGGGTAACTGATTAAAGGCGAAGGCGAGTCAGGTTGCTTCAGCGAAACTAAACCTAATATCTGTTGGCGTACGCACCGACTCCTTGTGGGTTTGTGGGTGGTTTCGACTTCGACAGACTTCGAGGATGGCCAGTACTAAGATTAGAATCAAACTTTCCTAATGTCTTTATGTTGTATTCTCGCCATTCTTCTTTAACAATCTTTATCTTCCACTTTCATAGCCCCGAATCAACTGGTCACTATAGCCGCGGCTTCGACTTCGTCTCTCCCGAACTTCGCGTAGCTTGTAAAGTTCGAGCGAAGTTTGCGTGGCTTGGATCGAACACCGTCTGATAAAGTCAACCTACGAAAATTCGGCGATGTACGCTGCGCTCAGGGGAGCGGTGCAGGCCCGCAGTGTTTGACTTTGGCTGATTGCGGTCTCTTGGAGGAAACCGAAACTAAAATCTTCGTTGGCAAATGTTTCATAGAATGCACTTTAGCCGCTAGGGGCGCCTCGGTCGTGCACATTGTTTATTCGTTGTTTAAATTCTGTTTCGAAGAAGCTGCTTTCAAAAAAATATTTTCAGTTGATATATTCTAAAGCGATCCAATTTTCAACGTTGGTGTCATTAACTATAGATATTTTTGTATAATTTATATTGAAAACGAAAGTGAGCTGGTACTTTGAAACTAGGCTCATATGATGATTTTGTTCTTCAAATAATGCCACCTATATGTTTTTCATGTTAATAAGTATTCTTTTAGATGAACTTTTACTCAGAATGAGACATGGAAATGCATCTCATGTGCTGTCAAGCTTGAAGGATTGTCATAAGTTTCAGAAGATAAAGGAAGAAATGAATCTCAAGGTAAAATCTTGGCACAATGTTCTTACCTTCTTTCGATTACCTTGCTTTCAAATATAAATGAAAATATACAGGTTCTTTCTTGTATATGTGCACCAACATAAAAAAAGAAACTTTCTTTATGACATTTAATTTTGCTATTAGCTTACCCGACTTCGCGGACACTCGGAACATGGTGGCTCGCGCTGTTATCCTTCAAAATAACAGATATATTTATTAAACTTTTAAATGGTTACTTTAGGCGAAATGTTGCATTTACGAAATTGAAGCCCAATCTTCAATCTGTATGTTTCAATTGCACAATGCCATAAAAAAAAACTGTGCATTTGCGCTTAATTTTTTTTTACTTCTACAGATTATTTTAAACCGAAACTAATTGAGAAAAAAAGCGGCAGTCATGTCGACATCTCCGCCCTCGCTAAGCGTCACAGCGAATGCGTCATCTGTGACGCAGGGAGCCCAGTCGCCATTATCACAATATGTTTCTTTCTCTATCTCTTATTTTTCTTTCATTTCGTAACAGCTTTAATTTCATCAATAAAATTATAGGCTTCCCATCGGAAAACAGGGAAATGACACAGCACAGTTATTTCCTACCGTAAAACGACATCAATTAACAGGTGCTACCGCAAGATGCAAAAACGCAAAACGATATTCTCCGCGTCACAGATGTCGTCGTTACTGTGACGCCAAGCGAGGACGAAGATAACGACGCCATCGTACCTCTTTTTTTTTTTTTTTTACTAGTTCCATTTTGAAACAGATTGCAGGTGTGAAATAATTTAGCCGGTAGTGCCCAATATTTTTTTGTGTGTATTTATATCATCGTGTGGTTGGAACTTACAGTATGAAGATTGGGCTTGAATTGCGTAAATGCAACATGCCCTCTAAAGTCACTAATCGGAAAGTTAATTAAAATTTATATCTTCTAATTAGTAGGCCAACAGCACAACCAATCTTTTTCAGAGTGGCCGGAAATTCGGGTGAGCCAATAGCAAAATACAAGTTTCCTAAAGCAAATCCTTTTTTTTTAATAAGGTGCTAATAAAAAAAGCACCCTGTCTAACGTTTTCTAATGAAAAGACCAAACAAAAGGAAAGGTAGCTTGAAATAGTTTGCGACACCTTTAGCGACAACTGACGAAAATCACCATACGCGAAGGATATGTTTGGGTTGGCAGATCTAGGTGCAATCATTAATGCACCCAGACTCAAAGCGCGACTGTCATCGAGAACGCCATTGATTGTCAGTTCCATAATTGTTTATGCAAGCCAATTGGAGTGAGGCGCTGATAATGTCATGTGTCGCTGATTATGTCTTTTTTATATTTTTCTTCTTTTCATGCCGCGGCGCTCTTTATGACGTTTGTTTTTTGTGTTAGGGTTTTTATAGATAGCCGATCCTATCCCGTATTTGACATTAAAAGCTTTCGAAACAAGGTATTCATTTATTGAACGGGGTTGAGAGCTCCTGTACTACAAGCATTGTGGACCCATGGCAGTATCGTAACATCCGGCAAGAATTATTCATTGATACGTTTATTCACGTTATAAAATAATCATGCACCTACGATACTAGAGAACAAATAAAATGTCAAGTAAGTTGGTTTTAAATTTCATAAACCAGCTTCTTGAACAAAAAACAATACAAGCAAAAACAAAAGCCACCCGTGGAACATCCAGGTGAAGGAAAGGAACAGAATACATGTCATTTGAGAAATTGATCAGCTCATGGGACATTATGTCTCTTTGTTATCCTGAGTAAGGCACCCTCACTTACTAAGCGCGCCTTTAGAGCATCTTCGTCGTAGGGAAGTCAGAAGGATGCACGTCCACGTCAGAGTTTGCAACCCTGAATGAGAAGGAGTTCCAAGAAGTGCCACTGACTGACGTCAAGAAAGAACTGGCCGCTCTGACTTACACATCGGGTACCACCGGCATCTCCAAAGTCGTTGAAGCAACCCAGTACAGCTTCGTGACCGCCTTAGAGCCCTCCAGGTATGATGTTTCAATAAATATGATGAGTTCATAATCCATTCATATTAAAAAAAAACAGTTTCATACCAGATTTCTATAGCGGAGATCAGTACCATTTTCCTGGCCTTTTGTACAGGATGTACGCTATGAAGTATACCAATTTAAAACGTCGAGTTTAGTTGCATTACTGATCGAAGCCAGCTAAAATCAATGATAAATTCGTGCGTATACCATCGTTGAGAGGTTAAATGCTTATATTGCACATCATACTGTACAGCAACCGGCTTTTTGACATCCATGACAAAATCATTCTGCGCAAAAAACGCTATAGTGTCGTCAGGTGATGTGACGTGATAGCCTCCTGCTCAATTCGGTAGGATATAAGCCTGCTCAATTTAGCAGATGGCGTAACATCCGTGTTTGAATTTCGTGCCAGTTTCGTATATTGATCTTTTTATACAATTTAAGGTTTATAATACCGTATTCTGCATTAAAACATCACCACACTGCGTTAAAGTGGCAATTTGGACCCGTTGGTCTATTATCACGTGGCTAAAACACAAAAAAAAACCTTGTCTATCTACATTCCTATGCCTGTGTTGTTGTGGTTTTGTTCTTTTTGTATTTTTTTTTCGCATACGCGCGTGATTTTATTATACATTTAGAAACTATGTTCACAGATGCTGACGGTGGACGCCACGGTGGCGCCCCCTACAAATTTGTAGCGGCCCACATATATTTTCAAGTTTTGTTCTATCGCCGTGAACCGACGGGCGGCACTGCAGTCGCGTTCTGCACCTAAGGAGCCTAAATTTAGGAAAGGTAGCAGCTTCAGTCAAGGAAAGCTTATTGAATTCAATGGCGGATAGGTCGCCTATGTGCATGAGTGCAGAGTCATGTGGCGGAGAAGATGGCGGGTGGAGATGCGGAGTCGCTCGCAGACGATCCAGGACTTCGCATTCCCTATTGAAAAGACCAGCTTAAGCTGGTCCCAGCTTCAAGCTCGGTTATTGCTCCAGCATGCCCAGTTGGCATGATGGTCATGCTGGTCCCAGCATCAAGCTTGGTTATTGCTCCAGCATGCCCAGTTTGGCAGGCTGGTCATGATGGTTGATCTTGTCCCATCTTCAAGCTGGGTTATTGCCCCAGCATGCCAAGTTTGGCATGCTGGTCATGCTGGTGGACTTCCCAACCAGTTTAACCTGTTTAAATTAATATACAGGATTAACAAGCCAAGCCAACTCGGTATCCAATTTATTGTTTTCGTACTTGAGGCCTGCTCACAATAGCTCAAATGCTACACAATCTCGGCGCTAACACAGTACATTCCCAACGCACAGGCAGTAGTTTTCAGTGCAAAACAAACAATTTTATTAAAACTAGATTGCTTATCTCTTAATACGAAAACTACTAGACAAACGCTAAAAACAGGCAAGAATAATAAAAATACTACTCGGAAGAGAGAAGCGAAGCTGGGTCCCGCCGGTGATGGGGGCGAAGCAGCCTCTTGCGTAGTCGGCTGAGGCGAAAAAATTCCCGTGGAAGCTTGGATTGCATTGACGATACTCCACGGCACCACCGTCATTCACGAGCGCGCACACGTTCGAAGACACGAAGCGACGCCTCAGTCGGGGCGTCCGACTTGTTCCCGCGCTGAACGGACTGCCGCTCGCTGTCTCCTCAAATCCCGCTTCGCTTGCACCGCCGTTCAAGTAGTCTCGAAACAATCCGCACACAGCCGTCCCTTCGAAAATCTGCCCAAGATAGCCAAACGTGTCTCAAATTATCCATTCCTACCACTCGCTCACTCTCCCTCTTCTCGCACACAAAGGAAGCTCGCAGCGCACCTGAAGTGCCCGGTAGTCTACCGAAAACGAGAGGACAAAGAACAGGACGTGGCCTCGTCCCCGCCCCAGCCGACCTTGGCGCGCGCGTTCCCAACAATGCCAGTTTGAGAAACTCTAGCCGACCTTGGCGTGCGCGCTCCCAGCAAGACCAGCGTGACCAGCTCGAACCAGCTTTGGCCAGATTCAGAACCAGCTGGAACCAGCTTGACTACCTTGACCAGCTTTAGTACCAGCTCGAACCAGCTCAAGTACCAGCTTGCCCAGCTGCAGTGCCAGCTCGAACCAGCTTGAAACAGCTTAACCAACTCGAACCAGCTTGATTACCACGTAGACCAGCTCGAACCAGCTTAAACCAGCAAAACCAGCTTGACCACCTTGATTTTCTCGCTGGTTTTTTCAATAGGGTTCTCTTTGCATCTGGTAGTGGAAGCGCTGTCCTTAGACCACTCTGCCCCAATCGGGCAGTTGAAAGCACTCACAAATCGAGGCACACCATACGCATTTGCTTTTGGTAGCGTCCATTGCGAATGCACGGTGAGGTTTTTTTTTATAAACTACACAGCAGAGCCTTCATTTTTGGAGATCTCAATTTGCAACGACCAATCACGCAATAAGAGATGAAGATTTATTCGCCGCTTATCTTTGGTCCGGTTAACAGGAACGTGCGGCATCGTTAAGAACTCAGAACAGTTGGAAGTTTGTGTTTGTCCGTCCCTTCTCGTTTTCTTCCTCAAGTTTAATTACCCGCTAACCGTGGAAGGTTTTCACCAAAGGGCAAAGAACGCGCGTCGCAGGTGGAACTTTCATTCTTAACCTGTTTTCGACTGCAGATGCAAACGCAGACCTGAATGCCATAAGCACTTGCTCTATCTTTTGTATGTGTTTGTGTTCTTTGTCAGGTTAGACATAACTTTCGACGAGAGTGAAATCATCGCGACGTGGGGACAGTTAACGTTTACCTTCGGCTTCCGCTATTTTCTGAGCATCGTCTGCTCCGGTTCCACCGCCGTTGTTCTTTCACGGGACACACCAGTCCAGGAAATGGTCGACACCCTCCGTAAGCACGAGGTACAGACATTTTGAAAACTGCTCAACTAACTTCCCTAATTTCTTAACTAGACTTTACAAATGTAACAATTCATAACTGAACTTAATATCGGGTAAATAACTATTAACCAGTTCATAACTAAGCTTAATATGCAACTTATTTTTAAGTGAGCAAAACAAATGTAACTAATTCTCAACTGAACTTAATAAGCACCTCATTCTTAAATGAGCCAAGATGAATGTAACTAGTTCTTAAATTAGCTTAATATGTGACGCATTCTTCTCCGAGCAAAACTAACGTGACTAATTCTTAGCTGTACTTACCTTATTCAGTCTGAATGCGGGTTGCCACACTTGCGACCGCCGACGACCGTGTGCCTTAAAACCTCGTAAAAAGTCTTACGACGGCGACAACGACGACGACGACGATGATGATGATCTTGCGGCTCTTTTCCTTTGGAACGGTCGAGCACTAACTGAATATGTGCCCAAGCCTTGTACAAGAAATCACACTGGCAGATTCTCTCCCTTAGCCGTGGAACTTGGAACAGTTGGCAGCTTTGTATAATTCCTTCTTTTGTTTAGAGCGCAGCTCTTAGGCGCCCGTTTCGGGCTTGAGCGGCGTCGCCGTCGCCGTCGGCTTAAAGGGCCCCTGAAAAGAAGAAAAAAGTTTTTCAAAAACAGTCTGGTTGAGACACGCGTGCCGAAAAATTAATTTTACGCGAAAAAAAATTTTTTTTAGAGCAATATTGACTGCGCCAGACGCAATTTAGTCGGCAGTCACCTCCTTTCCACTTTTCTCTCTCTCGGCATCTCGGGCGCGTGGAGGAGAGGTAGTCCCCGCCTCTTCGTAGTGGATCGGCTTGGCTGCTTTCCTGGCTTGGCTGCGCCCCGCACGAGCGCCATTGCTAGGGGTGTCGCGAACCGGCCGAGGTGCGAGTTCGACCAGGTTCGACTTTCTCGAACCTTTTGCGGAAATTTCGACGAACCTTGTATTGAGGTTCGACTCGTGTGCGCATGCGCGACAGGCTGGACAGTTGGCTTCGGATTGGATGGTAATGGCTAAGGGATGAATTAAGGGCACCGCTGATTGGTTATTTCAGTTAATATAGTACAAAACAATTAAGTTATTAACGTCTTGAGTGACTAAAATTGGTTTCTTTTAATTGCAACTGTTCATAAAATAAAATAACTCTTTGCATAAAAATAAATTCTCCAAACCTAGACATGCGTGTATCAAGGTCTGGCCACACTGTCCGCAAAGTCGAACCGGTCGAATTCGGTGAAAAGTTTCGAAGGTTCGTCGAACCGGTTCGACCCAGTCGAACCCCGAAGAGTTCGACCTAAAAATCTGGTTCGACAAAAGTTCGCGACACCCCTAGCCATTGCTACTTCCTGGCCGTGTTCCAAAATTGACTCGATCTTACCCCAGGGTGAGGGTTTTGTACTCTTGGCGTTCTAAAACCTACCCGCGTACAGCGTTTTTCAATCTGTGCTGTCACGTGATACGATCCGCCGGAGAAACTCGGATGCATTTGGAGTTTTGGAACACAGCCCCTGGCCGGCTGTCTGCCGGTCGAACGACATACCGCGCCGTATCGTGCACGTACCGTGGTCACCGTGGTCGTACACACAGTACATAGTCGTCGCGGTGGACCCCGACCTGAAGCGTCAATTGCTTCAACGCTGCCAGCAGCTGGGCCTTCGTCCGTACGAGGACACGCCTCGCCAGCCGGAAGGCGTCCGCTCCGATCGCCGCGAGGCACCCGCTTCGCCGCGGCGAAGCGGGTGCCTCGACGAGTTCGTTCGAGCCGCACGATCCTTCAAGCCGCCGCGAGGACACGCAGTGGTAACTGATTTTTTTTTTTATTATTAAACGTTGAGTGCGGTGCCGCGTGCCTCACTAAACACTTTACGGGAACCACGGGAACCGACATCTAAACAAACATTGGCACTGGCGCGCGCCAGAAAACAAAAGATGAGGTAAACGGGACACACGAATCGCGCAAAGAAGAGCAGAAAAACAGAAACCTGTCACCCCGCGCCACTTCCTAAGTACTTACTATGACTGACTAACTAACACAAGCAACAAGGCCTCTTCAGAACGCGAAACGCGAAGACGGCGACCACGACAGAAAACAAAATGGCGAAGCTTTTGTTTGTTGTTTTGTTGTGGTATCCGAACGGAAGTTACGATTTTGTAAAACGTTTGTAAACAATTGCGACATTCATTCGATGGATTGTTTCTTAAACCTAAAAATATGTAATTCAAAAGGCGATTTAAAAAAATCACGAAGATTTTAAAACCAACATCTAAGCTGTCACTCATTCTATTGGCCAATGAGAAGCTGAGTTGAATGACCATCGCTACCAATGAGAAGCCGAGCTGAATGACCATGGAATTTGCGCGCAAAACTTCAAATAAATCTCTCGCCGTCAATATTGCTCTAAAAAAATTTTTTTTTCGCGTAAAATTCATTTTTTGACACGCGTGTTCCAACCAGACTGTTTAAAAAACACTTTTTTTTTCTTTTCAGGGGCCCTTTAACCACGCGTTTCATTATAGGACGTTTCCCATTATGACGTCACACGTGACGTCACTTGTGACGTCTCGAGGGTCACGAGTGCAGAAAAAAACTTTCTGCTAACTTTAGCGAAAAAAATTCCTGCTAAATTTAGAGGGAAATGTAGCGAAAATATCCCGTCAAGTGGGAGTGGAGCAGGAGTGAAGGAGGGGGGGGGGGGAGGAGGCGGAGGAGGGGCAATCTCTCCCCTCCGTTCGTTCCCCTCCTCCTCTTCAAGAGCTGCGCTCTAATTCGGCATTACAGAAAGTTGTTAACGTCTTTCATTTTTTTTTCGTTCGCATAATACTTTCAATCTTGGCTTCAAAAACTTGTGACAATGTTATAAACGACCATCTCTCATGAATGGTACGTACATTTGATCTTGCAGATATCGAGAAAGCATCGCGCTAGTGAAATGCAGTTCCAGGATCACCTAAAAGAATGCGCCAGCGTGCCAGTTTGTTATCTAGAAAGCCTAAAAAGAGGATCCAGCTCGAACCATGGGGAGCGTTTTCAATTTACTGTCAAACGCCTCCCACGTAAGATAATCGGAGATCCGCATGCGCTCTGTTTTCACGTGGCGAGGAGGAAAGCAGGCGGAAAGGCGGAGACGTTTGGCAGATGATCAAAGCTTTCGGCACCTCCTCGCAGATCGTTATTGCAAACGCGGCGCGTAACTCACGTGACTCTGATCGAGCAGTTGGAGACTCTATTACAAGCTCTCTAGTGTTCTCTCGTCGTAAGAGATCACACGAACTCGGTCGTAAGCAAACGCAAGTGTGTTAACGGAGCTACATAGCCTACCAATTTTCTGTGATATCACGCTTGCGTTGGCATGTACCGCAAACCCTCTAACTTCCGCTTTGGGATCCTCTCCAGGTCACAACTCTTTCCGGACCCGTCGTTGTACTGCAGCAGCTCATTAAAGAATTGCAAAGAACGAGCGCGAGGCTCGACAGCGTGACCAAAGTGGAGGCGTGCGGCGTTCTCCTCTCGAAACAGGCGACCAGGGAAATTCTTTCCGCATTCAATTTGAAAGAGCTAAGGAACCCCTATGGGGCCACGGAAGGTTGCGGCATTATCTGCACCACCCTGAAAAACAGGATCGCTTGCGACACAATCGGGTTTCCTGTGCCCATGACTCAAATAAAGGTAACATATTTTTTTCATTTTTATACCCTGAAGGCATGCGACACAGTCGCCGGAACCGGACATTAAAACTGAGAAAACGATCGGTAGAGAAAAAATATAATTGGGCTAGAGACTCGTGAAGCTAGAAGGCGGGAAATCGAGGGAGAGGAAGAGATGAAAGCGTGCGGTGACGTCAGAGCGGCGAGCTCTGATTGGAAGGATTAGTGGGTAGGCGCAAAGCCTGTTTCTATACCGACTGTTCTCCCTTCAATCATAGCAAACATGTGGGTCGTCTGCTTCTTCACAGCGCCTGGCGTTCAAACGCCGGAGGCCTGAGTTCGACGTTTGAGCAGCGAGTATAGAGACAGCGGCAGCGATACGGTGCGTCTGCCCACCAATCTTCCCAGTCAGAGCTCGGCGTTTGGACGTCCCCGCACTGTCCTCTCCTCCTCGCTCGAAGTTTCTCTCCATATGCGGAGCGCAAGTTCGTCTGCTCTCTTTTGCAGGGGTTGTGGTGTCGTCAGAACGCCGAGCTCTGATTGCTTCTTAATGAAGGATAGTGGGTAGACCTCAAGGCTGCTTGCTTTCATGTCTACCCACTATCCTTCAGTCAGAGCCAATCAAAACTCGGCGTTCTGACGTCAGCACAACCGCTGCAAAAGAAGCAGACGAACTTGCGCCACGCATAGGCACCAACAGGGTGAGAAGATCAGGGCGTCTCTCTTGGACGCCCGGCCTCGAGTACGCGATAGTTGCCTCTTGCAGCGTTCTGGCTGCAAGAGGCACGCGCTAGAAGCTCACCAAAACGCCAAAATGCTATGAATGGGGAGACGCTGGCGGTGTAGACATGAGCTTCTTAACCTCCTTACTGCCGTTCTGATCCTGTCATTGACTTTAGCGCTAGGAACACAGTGCGGACATTCTCCGAAACGCTACCTCAACAGCGGTTTTGTTTTTGGGCCGGTTTCCAGGCGTAGAGCGTCGCGAAAAGTTGTCACGAAAAAAATATGATAACACGGCCGGATGTCTTAACAGGATACGCTTTGTTCCTGGACGGGGAATCAAACTACGAACCTCTCGCACAGTAGTCTGTTACTCTACTCGTGCGCCAGCAAAGCGGCATCGATTATTATGGTTTCAATGGCTATGTACTCATGTTGCCGCGAAACTCTCGCTTCTCCGATGTTGGGAGGTGTCACGTGACAGGGTAACCCTACAAGTTATGCAATCACGTAATCACCATAGGTTATGTCATCGGTGACTATGGGTCATATGGCTTGTCTTATTTTAAGACAAATGGTTGTTGCAACTCTGAGTCGTTTGACTACGTATATTGACTTTGCGTAATATCACTCTGTCGCGTCACGTGAAGTTACTCAACTATATATTATGTGACGGCCTAGCGCGTAGTGATTACGTGATGACGTCACCATAGATTGAGACCAACCGCGGTTACTGATGACGTAGAAGATTATACCACCGAACGCAAGAGATCGCTAGCCGCTGCGGCGGCTTCTTATAGGTAGGTCACGCAGCGCAGCACGTTGATTGTGTAACATTAGTTTTCTACGAAATGTCCATGACTTCTGGTAGAGTGTGATTTGGGAAACTGGGAGGTGTATAAATGACAGGGCACATGAGCATGCCATATCTGTCAGAAGCTCCCCATTGGGCAATCTCGCCATTCACTGTGATAGTTGCCCTTGTGCGCCTAATCTTAAAGATACAAAAATTGAAGGGAAACTTAGAAATGAAACTGGTGGGTAATAATTTAAAGCCTATTGCATAAAGGTTGACTCACACACTTGCGTTGAGTCCGTGCGAATGCGACTGCACCGGCTTGCAACGCTAATCATTTTACGAGTTGCTTTGGCAGCAGCTGCCTCGGTTCCACCAAAACGGGGTAAAAACCGGTTTTGTTGGAGCCGTCGCAGCTGATGCGATAGCAACCCGTAAAAAAATTAACGTCGCAAGCCGTTGCAGTCGCACTCGGACGGACTCAACGCAACTGTGTGAATCGCCCTGAACAGTAATCAACGAGGATAGCTGCGCAAGTGCACTAACAGTGCACCTAATTGAGATAGAGTTTGCTTTTCTTTGTGAGTCCGGAAGCTGATTGCGTGCACAAATGCAGTGCGTGTGTTTTCAATAAACGATCAGTTGTAAGTAGCGCTCGGTCCTCTCCCTTTTTTTTTCTATTCGTTTCCACGTATTCTTGAGGCGTTTTTCTACTTAAACATGTACCAACTAGCTCACTTAGCAATTTTATTGCAGTAGAAAATATACGTACAGTGCTCATCAAACTTACACAGAAAATTCAAACTGTGTTTTTTTTATGGTAGCCATACCCTGGAGGATGCTTAAAAACGACTTTTTGACATAGTACTTGAGATGTTTTTCTTTTTTTTTAAAGTTCTATGTCACAAAACCGTTGCTCAGCTGCAGCCAGGATATTGGTGCCACGGGAAAAGACACAGTTCGCGCGTTCCGTGGAACTTTGATGAGAACTGTACTAAACTTCATACTTCCTATAATGATAGGCACGCCGTCCACTCGGAACCGGAATAGGTATAAATTTCCTTTAATCCTACTGAAAACGAGCGGAGACACCTTATGTGCTGCGTATCTTCCAACATGAGACATGGCTGGGCTCAGGAACAGGGAGGTAAGCCGAAACTAAGTGAAGCTAAAATACAAGAAGTATCTGAAAGTATTGAGAACAGAGTATCAAAACAACCAGAATGGTAATCGACGTATGAGAATCTAATAGGAAATTAGAGAAGCATCTAATTAAACAAAGGGGAAAGCGAAAACAAAGACACAAATCAAAAAGCTTGTGAGATAAGGAGGTCAAAGAAGAAATATTGCGGCGTCAAGAGGGGCATCTAGGACCATAGGTGGGCAAAGAAAAGAGGAGCCTTGACAGCTGACGTAGAGTCAAAATGGGAAAATTTCCAAATGCAGAAAAGAGAGGCATCAGCTTGAATACAGGCCGAAATTGGGAGTGCAGGAGTCCAGTGGATGACAGAAATAAATAAAAGTATAATAGGAACGCAGCAAAAAGGTTTCGGGGGAATATTAAAGCACAGGGGAGAAAGACGGAGGGTTTCTGGCACTTACTGACCACACAAGAGGGTACTAGAGTATACAGGGAAGGGGCACGGCAATATGCTAAACAGACAATCGAAGTTGCTTTCTCCCAGCTTGAGCAGAGGGGGACAGTGGATAGCACTGACAGCAGCAGTTTAGAGGAGGAGCAGATATCTGTAACCATGGAGACGACCACAAGGGAATGTGACAAGTCAGAAAGTAAGGTTCCAGCAGGTACAGCGACAGGCCCAGACGATACATCTATAGAACTCATAAAGACTCTAGAAAAAACAAGCAAATCGATGTTACGGTATTTGCGTAATCAATTAATAATGGAAGGAGAAATACCAAATTATTGGAAAATAAGTAAAATGAGGCTAATATATAAAAGCAGAGAAAACAAAGAGAACATTGAGTCATATCACCCAGTAAAGGTGACTTCGGTTCTGTAAGGTTAGCTATGCAGGTAGTAAACACGGATAATGGAGGAATGGCAGAAAATATGCAAATACTGCGTGAGCTCCAAAATGGATTCCAAGAACTAGGAGACTGGAAGATAACTTATTCGTTCTCACTCAATGTATAGAAATAACAATAAAAAAGCGAACTTCTTTATGGTTAGCTTATTTTAAGATCAAGGAAGTTTACGATAATGTGAGCAAGGAAAAACTCTGGGGTCAGCTGAAGGAGTGTAATTTAGATACAAATTTGATTAGGTTTCTGCAGCAGCCCTACAGCGAAAGTAAGGTAGTTATAACATGGGAAGCAGAAACTACACAACCCGCAGCAATAAAAAGAGGGCTCAGGCAGGGCTGTCCACTGTCACCGCTGCTTTTCATGATATATCTAAGCGAAATGCAAACGAAGAAATTAGAGCAGAGTAACTTAGGTTTTGATGTGAGTTATATGGAAGGAGGGAAAAAATGGTAAGACAGGCAATACCAGGACTGATGAATGCGGATGACATAGTACTCATGGCAAATAACTAGGATACATTACACGAACTAGCTGTAATATTCATGTTACAAGGCGCACAAACACAGACACAAGAGAGAAAGAGACAAACAGGCGCCTTGTGTCCGTGTTTTTGCGCCTTGTAACATGAATACCAACGTTTACCAACTAGCCCAACTACAAGTTCTTCTACAGTAGCTGTAATATGTGGAGAGGAAGGGGCTACCTTGGGCATGAGTTTTTGTAGTGACAAATCTGGAGTAATAGTGTTTAACAATGAAGACAGGAAACCCCTGAGAATACTCGATTTTTTAATAGACTATGTTGGAAAATGCAAACATCTGGAAGGTCTGGCCCAATCAGGCAAGGATATATCTAGAGCAGGGGTGGCCAGGCTGACCAAGCCTAAGCGGCGCAAACAAAACCACAAAAATTCCAAGAGCCGCGGGGAGGGGGGGGGGGGGGGGGGGGACTTTTCTTTGGAGCAATAAACGAAACTCCAACTACTTTCGATCTATCCGAGTCAAAAGCAGTCTAGCTGTACGTAAGGTAGCGGTAGCACAAGTACCAAACAACAACATGTCTTCTGATTTAGAACGCGTTTCATTTCCCTTTTTGGGGAAGTGCTCGTGTGACCGGGAGCGAGGCGCGGAAATGGGGGGGGGGGGGGGGGCGGGGGGGTGTTAAAGGAGGGTGCCGCGACCCGCACTTTAACACGCAAAGAGCCGCAGCTTGGCCACCCCTGATCTAAAGGAACACGAGGAAAATATAATTAGAAATGTGAAATAAATTCATTTACCATAAAGCTCTAGGCATTATGGAACTACAATAAATATAAACTGGTTAGGTGTATGTGAAAAGGAGTGATGGTTCCAGGGCTGTCTTCTGGCAATTTCAATACATGAAATCAGAGATTCAATCAGAATGAGATATTTGGCAAAGAAGCGTAGACAGATCCTGGAAGCACATGGAAAGAC